TCCATGCAAAAAATGGGCGTGATCTGCCCATTAGTTCCTAAGTTATTTGCAGTTTTATGCAATTTTAGCGAAATTACGATTTCTCAAAAATTGAACCAACTTTAAACCTTTATAGCTTTTTTACTATTTATTCAAAAATGATCATTTTTGATTTTTTTTGAAGCTTAGGATGTTGTTATTCATTACGTGTAAAAAATATTTCAATTTTAATTATCAAAAAAATTTTATTAGCGAAATTGCACAAAAAGTCAGCATTTTTTTCATGGCCATTTTCACTTCTATCTGCGATACCCAAAAAATGTATCCGAGTTTTTTCATGAAATTTTTCCTACTAATAGCCAAATAGTTACACTTTACAACAAATAAAAAATTGGCCTGCGCACTCTATGTTTTACACCTATTTCAGGCCTCAGAATCCAGCGAAAAATTACGAAAAATATTACCTTCAATAAACCCCATTTATTTCAACAAAAAATTCAATAAGTAATAACAAAAAGACATTTAAAATTTTATAAATATTTAATTTATTTATATTTCAAATTTCAACTAAATCGATTGAAAAATAACGAAGTTATAACACATTATGTTCAGACGCCTGACCGGAAGTATGATCACAGTATTTAACCTTGAATGTACAGTTATTCAATTTTACACAAGCAAGTAATGCGTATTTGAAATATGAACACTTCCGGTCAGGCGTCTGAACATAATGTGTTATAACTTCGTTATTCTTCAACCGATTTAGTTGAAATTTGAAATATAAATAAATTAAATATTTATAAAATTTTAAATGTCTTTTTGTTATTACTTATTGAATTTTTTGTTGAAATAAATGGGGTTTATTGAAGGTAATATTTTTCGTAATTTTTCGCTGGATTCTGAGGCCTGAAATAGGTGTAAAACATAGAGTGTGCAGGCCAATTTTTTATTTGTTGTAAAGTGTAACTATTTGGCTATTAGTAGGAAAAATTTCATGAAAAAACTCGGATACATTTTTTGGGTATCGCAGATAGAAGTGAAAATGGCCATGAAAAAAATGCTGACTTTTTGTGCAATTTCGCTAATAAAATTTTTTTGATAATTAAAATTGAAATATTTTTTACACGTAATGAATAACAACATCCTAAGCTTCCAAAAAAATCAAAAATGATCATTTTTGAATAAATAGTAAAAAAGCTATAAAGGTTTAAAGTTGGTTCAATTTTTGAGAAATCGTAATTTCGCTAAAATTGCATAAAACTGCAAATAACTTAGGAACTAATGGGCGGATCACGCCCATTTTTTGCATGAAGTTGTGTTGCTATGTACGTCAGATATATATATAGTCCAATAAGTGCAAAAAGTTTTTTGAACCATAATAAACGATTTAATATGAAAATTTTGTATGGGGGGTGGGTGTGGCAGTGGGCGGAAAACCATAAAAAATTTTTTTGAGTATAGATAATAATGTAAGTTTTCCGGACACCAAAATTCAGCTTTCTGCCTATCATAGTTTTTAAGTAATCTTGGGACCACGGTAAAATCTCCATGTTTGGGCAAAAATTTCGGGTAGTTCCAGTAGGCCGATTGGGCTCAAATTAGATTTAAAAGAAAGATCAACTCAAAAAATATATTTTAGGAAAATTTCATATCAATATCTCTACTGGTTCCGAAAATATCGAATTATGACCGCCTAATTTTGTGTCTTGTCACACTGTGCGACGTCGTAGTGCTACATCCCTTACAATAATAATAATAATTACTGTTTACGTTAAATCATACTGATATGAGAAAATTGTAAGAAAAAACTGTAATAATTTTTTAACAATAAAGCTTTCTAATTTGAGTTAATAACTTTGTTTAGAAATTGAAATAGAATTTATTCTAAGAAATTGAGTTCTAGGAAAATTAAAAATTGTTTCAGACAAATTAAATACTTTTTTTGTAAATATATATAATTATTAAATGACAATGTACTGTGTTACCAATAACATTTATAATCTACATTTAAAAATGACTAGTTATGGTTCTTTTAATATTAA